ATTTTCCAGGTTTATAATGCGAGTAATGTAGAGATAGTCACGAAAACACGTACAGAACATTTGTGTAAGGAGGATCGAGAGAGGTAAGCGTCACATCTCGCTTTTGCTTCGGTTTGACTTGTAGTTGAAGCTGATCGATTGATAGTAGTTTTCATGAGAGACATTGTTATCTCTTACGTTCCGTATTAGATATTTGTTTTCTTAAAGATACAACTGGTGTTAATATTTTTGTACTTATTGGTTATTTGTCCATCGGTTTAAGTTTATTCGTTGTTGAAGGTACAAACAAGAGGAGAACGACAATCCACTGCATACAATACTGAAATTGGTTGAGAAACGTCAAGAGTGGAAAGAAGAAATGAAACGAACCGGTGTAGACGTGTACTGCGGTCTTACGCCGACTCAGTACCTAGATAAAGATTACTCGATGAGCGATCGCGATATTGGACATCAGAAACAAGTATCGTCTCATTGAAATTATCACATCATTATCATGAAATTCTCATTTTCATTTTGCATTTTCATATCTGTTCAATGGGAGACGTTTCATTCTCATATGGTGTGCATTAATTTTAATTTGTGGAAATAAGGTAAGTTTTCAGGTGACACGCAAATCGAATTCCTTCAAAGCAACGCTATGGTTGTGTGACAATTATCCTTTGGATTTACAGGTGAACGCGTAGTCTGTTATGCAAAGTTTATCAAATGACTTCATTCCATAACTTCAAGCAGTGATAATGAAAACATTTTAATGGGTGCCTTTAGACTTCATCAAGCTGATTGAATAGAATTTCATGTTGTATGTGAAACATTCTCAAAGTAAGATTACGTTTCAGGATCAGATACTGCCAATAATCGATCTGATGGCCGTCAACAACACGCATTTTGCTCGTCTAAAGAATTTCATCCAATTGCAACTTCCGGCTGGTTTCCCTGTCAAAATTGAAATCCCCTTGTTCCATGTGGTCAGCGCTCGTATCACATTTTCGAACATCAATAAACCGGGACCGTGTGTGAGTCCGGCTGAAGACGATCCGAATAAGGTAAGATATGATGGATATATCAAGTTTTCTTCTTCTTTTGGGGGAATTCCTTGAAAAGATGTGATGATCTCGAAGAAATTAGGAAAAGTGTTATTTTATCAAGTTATAAGGTAGTTGGCTATCGAACATTAACATATTTGAGGTGATTATCGATGAAAATGCATTCCAAGTTTGTGAATCGTATCGCTGTTTGAACGGTGATGAGTACTCGTTGGATCATAATGCGTCGGCAACATCAGCCGTTGCGAATGGACATTTGCCTTCGGCTAGACGATGTGAGTTTAGTGATTTACAGGAGTACGCATGGAGCTTTTAGATTGCTGCGGTTGTGCTCGAACACGATCATTTCACTCTTCGATAAAGTATTTCGGAACATGATCGTGTGTAATTTTCACAGTCCACTATTCTGATTTGAGCATATGTTTAGATGTACCTGAAGATGAGCTCTACTTACAATTTGCGCTAGAGCAAAGTATGCGTGAAGGGTTGATGGCATCTTA